ATATATATATATATATATATATATATATGTATATGTATATACACACACACACACACCCTAAATAGAACTAAACAGTACAAAAATTAAAACTATATTTTTGTGAAATGTCTAAGTATTTGTTAGAGAATGTAACAAAAAAAAAAACAGGTTAAAAACAATATATTGAAATCCTATCTATTATATATCATATCTAAACATTTATTCAATGTCTAATCATGATTTCCTTTATAAAGAACCTACATCAGAAGATTCACATGTCCCTGAGCCCAGAAAACCTGTCTTACACTGTACCTGCGATCAGAAGCAGAAATATCAGTTGTAAACTTTAAGTCAGCGCAGAAGAAAACCTCCTCTCAGAGGGTCATCGCTCTCTTGGGTGAAGCTGGCCACACCGCTGTAGTGAGCATGACCTGTGACCTCCACTACCACAGCCCTGAAGTCCCCACACGCGGTCTCCTTCAACAACAGACCAGCTACAATTACTGCTTTTGTTAAAGAATATAGACTACATTTCCAGGACTAGACCCTAAAATGGTTTATATTTTCTACAGGTACCTCTATTGCTTTTCCTGTAAACACTGATCCTGTAGCTCCACTCTTGAAGCTTCTGGTCTGGTTCAGTCCGATCAGGCCTTTATGGTACTGAAGAGCTATACGAGCAGTGACGCCTGACCCTGTAGGGCTTCTGTCCACCTGACAACCCATATAACAAACCTCTGTCACAAAGAGCAAAAGACCAGTCGCCATCAAACAAATGATTTCATATTAGGATGAACAGTCCTAAAGTCCCGAACTTTCTGTATACGGATTCATATAAACAACTGGTTTTACCTGTGCATCAGCAAACACACACACATTGGCCGTGGGCTCTTCAGAAAAAGCATCTTTGCCGTCAGTAAGGATTGTGCCATAGAGGAAGGCCAGATCCTCACTGACTGGATGATACAGCTTTACCTAGAGTCATTACAACAATTAGTCCGGTCAATTATGCAAATTATCATACAAATTACAGACTAATAAAACACAATGTTGAATAAAGTAGGTTCATGTTTCTTTCACTTGCCAAATTAAAAAAAAAATAAAATCGAAAGATTTTATTTTTATTAAAAGAGTCAAATAAGGTTATTTTAGAATTACTTATAGCATGTTTTTATATTAGCTTTATTTTTATTTTCCAGTCTTCATTTTAATTTGAGTTAGTTTTAGTCATTATGTTGTGTTTTCAACATCATTCGGTTTTTTTTTTCTAATTCGCTTGATTTTATTTAAAGTTCTACTAATTTTAGTATTTCAACTTAAACCTGCAATTAATTGCTGAGGCAACATCTCTAGTTTTTTTCAGTTTAAGTTTTTAAGTAATATTTCTACTTTATTTTAGCTCATTTTAATGAACAAAAATTGTTTTTTTTTCAGCTAGTTTTAGTTAACAATAACAACAGTTACCTGGGATTTAACAGCATCACTCACAGCAGTGGCTGCATCCACCAGATCTCTGGTCTTGGCCTTGTTGACATCCAATCCAAATTTCTCAGAACTCACAAAAGCATACAGAGCTCCACCATAACTGATGTCCACAGTGATGGACCCATATCCTGGTACAGAGACACTCACATCTAGAAAAACAAGGAAGGCAAAGAATAAAACAGCTCTCTTAAAGAAAATTTAAATATGATATTATACAAAATATATATATAAAACAAGTTTGGCAAGTGATTAATTAAAAACAATCTAAAAATATATGTTTCAAAGTGACACCATTTGAACATATCAAACTTGCAAATGTTTTATGATCATATTGTCATGATCACACCATATTGCTCACCCGTAGCGAAAGCAAAGGCTGGCACACTGTGGAATCTGACAGCTCCAGTTTTCCCATTGGAATACTGTGTAAAGGCTTTCACTAAGCCACAGGGGCAGTGTATGTTTATCTGCGTCTCTGGTGAAGTGGGCGCTTTAATCAAGCCATAATCCACCGCAAAGCGCCCGAGAGCAA